ATATTATTAAAATAAAACTGAAGCTCTATCGTCGAATATTATCGATGTGTCTCTGACAAAATGTTGTTTTGATTCGATTCTAAATGAGATAAATTAAAAAGGTACAACATAATCAAGTAAACCTAAAGGAATAACAGACTCTTCGTTGAAACTTTTGAAACTTCATCGGAACTTTCAATTTATTTGTTATCGTATTAACTGTTTTATATGCATATGTTAAATTTTGACGTATTGCGACAATACTGTTTTCTTTTAATCGATAAACGAATCTTTTAACATCGAAAATTATAAACAGACTCTAATTTTGCATATTTCGATTGACTTACAATTTCGATGCGATTAAATAGAATGCCTCGATTCTATACAGTTTTTACAATCGTTAGATCAACAGTATAAACAGTATAAACAGATTTTAATTTCATTTCATGTAACATTTCGGTTAACTTACAATTTCGATGCAATCAAATAAAATGCTTAGGTTTTATACAATCTTTATGATCGTCAGATTAACAGTTAAAGTGTTTTAAAAAATCCACCCACATGATTGATAATTACCAAAGAGATATATATATATATATATATTGAGCCTTTCGAAATATTGATTTCTGCTATTTTGGGATTCACTACAACGTGCGTGAAATAAAGCTAAAGAAAAATAAAGACAGATAATAATTAAAAATGGAAGAAGTGAACGTTCACGGTTAATAACAAATAACATAATAATAATAATAATAATAATAATTTTATAATATAACATTTACGGATATCATAAAAATGGGAGTGAGAGACGTCTATAACTGAAATCGGCAATTACTTAGTTGCCAACCCAATACATAAAAATTCGACCTATATTTTTGAATATCGCTCTTTATAAATTCACTCGCACAAATACCATTCGTAACAATCAGCTGTAAAAAATATTGTTCATTCGAATACGAGCGTTTCTAAACAATAGCATACCGTTCCATATTGTGTACTTCAATTTCTTCATCGTCCGGATTTATTGAACAGCTGATTCAATGCCTCTATTTTGGAAAGAACATTTGAAGTAGGCGTTTCAAAATAGGGACAATCAATCCGAAATACGGGAATACGATATAAAAATGCCGTTCCATATTAGATGCACGCTCGTACAATCTTGGCAATCTTACACCCCCCCGAAAAGCGTCCCATAATAGGTACTTTTACCTTACATTAAATACTCGTATTTTAATATTCAACTCTTCCGCGCAGTATCGCAGTGGCCACGACATGATCGTTCCACTGATTTCGACCGAGTAGGAATCGAAAGACTGTAACAAGGGATCGGGCGATATCGAAGGGGAGAGGAACGGTTGAAATTTCCTATCGGGTGCGCTAATGAAAGCTGTCGCGATAAAGTCTGGCCGCTGCTTACTCGATGATACCGTTTCGCGGAAACGTGCTTGTGCGGGAAACGACTGGATTCCATAAAGATCCGAGTTTGCACGGTGTCTTCGATGCGTCTCGCGTCGTTACGCCAAAAGACGCCGGCGCACATCGCGAAACTGGGCTACGCACGTGCAAATGTACCGCAATAATAATTGTTTCCTTAATTATAGGCTCGTTGTACGTGCGTGTGTACGTTCATTGCTCTTTTTTTCACGAGCACTCGTACTCCGCAGGCTGGAGCACCGTCTCTCTCTCTCTCTCTCTCTCTCTTCGCGCAAAGGAAGATCACGCGATGGTCCGTCGTCGTCGTTGCGAGCGATTCGCTCGCTGCCATTAGCGAGCGCTGCCGCGAAAACGGCACGCTGCCGATTGGCGTCGGGTGTCGTTAAATAATTTCGCTTCTGACATTGCGAACGAGCGCCAGCTGACGCGCGTGTACTCGAAATCGCCTCGGGGTACTAATTATGAGAACCAAGAGCTCTATTGTAACTTTAAAAGCACTCGAGATTGGGCGCGATTTCGCGCGAACATGGACAAAAATGGCACCCGATATACAGTTGCCCGTAAAAGTGTCCGTATACCGTTTAAAACGCAATAACTTTTTTTTAGAACTGGACTAAACGACTTGAATTTTTCTTAGATGCTAGAGGGAGACCGGTCACTAGACCATAACTGGAATACTTTCTCTAAATTTTGCTACTCCTCAGAACGACAAAAGAAAATAAACGTTCTCACTATTTAACTTTTTTTTATCCGCGGATCTCGGTAATTTATGTCCATGTTGAACAATCCATCGAAATTGATCGATCTTTCGTACGAGCTGTAAGCAATTAAAGATCGCGAGAATCGCAGTTTCGTCCCGATTTTGAACAGTTTTTGACCGATAAGTGCGAGAAATCTGCAGCTTTTCAAATTTTTTCAACGCCGATAACTTGACTTCGCGTAAAACGATTTTTTTAGATGAAATTTTCAACCCTTACCGAGATGAGAGTTTCCCATTTCCTTTAGTCATTCTAAACAATAGCAAAATTTAGAAAAATTCTAGTCGTAGTTTAGTAGACGGATTTTAAAAATTCAAGTCGTTTAGTCCAGTTCTAAGAAAGTTATTGCGTTTTAAAATGTGTGCGAATATTAATCGGAGTCGTTGTATAATTTGCTTGAAATCAAATAATCTTCCATGTTAACGTTTTAACTTACAACTGGATAATGTTGAAAACATATGGTGGCATCTGAAAAAGATAAGGAAATGCTGATTTCTTGTTGTTTCTGAGCATCGTCGAATCTGTTTAATAAAATTAGTTTAGCAATCTCGGTGTTGTTTTGACATACAATCACTCTAATATGAGTCGTTTAGTCCAGTTCTAAAAAAGTTATTGCGTTTTAAAATGTGTGCGAATATTAATCGGAGTCACTGTAAATGAATAATGTTGAAAACATATGGTTGGATCTGAAAGGGATGAGGTAATCCTGATTTCTTGTTGACCGAAAATATTTCTGTTAAATAATCGGGAAAGCCTGAAAAATGGTGGTTAATCATAAATGATGTACCCTTTGTATGTTTATGCAGCCATGTAATCTTGATATGAATGATTCGCAAATTAATCTTCCAGAATATAAATTGCTCAGGAAACATCTGTACGCGGTAGTCGAGCATCTAGATACTTGTGAGACATATAGGTTTGCTGTTGGAGTTTATGGACCGTATGGTAGTGGTCCTTTGAGCTTTGCACATCATGTGCATACGAGTTTCAATCCACGTGCCGCACCAACAGATGTACGTGTACTGCCGTCTGACAAGGATGATACTATAACTATTATTTGGGCTGCCAGTTGTCATGTAATCGATTCGCTTATCGCATATACGGTGAGTTTTTTCATTTTGCGATTTTGTTAAGAATACATAAAAAAACATAGATGGAATACGTTCTTCTATTAAAAGTGAATTCTATATAATGTGTGCGAGGCTTACCTTATTGTTTTAAAAAGTTACCTATCTTCGTCAAATTGCTTTAGTATAATACTTATTTATACAGTGTATGGTTTAATTCGGAACACGTGAATCTCCTGTAAACTCTTGCAAAAATCTTTCAGACAAAACTTGTGTGATGTGGTAGTGCAAGAGGAGACGGAGGGTAATACACAATTGCTAATACAAGTGCATTGTTGTTATTTTTGTTGTAGATCACTGTCACTGAGCTAACGTTGAATAAGCATTTTGCGGTAACTCTGCCACCAACAGATAAAACAATAATGAATCACACGTTTAATTCTATAAATTATGGCAGCACGTATAATATAGTTATAGCAACGGTCGTTGAAAATACCTTGCCAAGTCGACCGGTCATCTACACGGCCATTGCGATACCGCCACCCCATCAGCTGTTGGTTGTACCCGAGAAGTCGGCGTACGTTCTATTTTGGCAGGAGCATGATCTACCTGGAGATTTGGAGAACTCGAAGTACCATTATGAAATTCTAGTGATGGAAGAATCGAAAAAAAAGAACGAATCCACTGCTACAATCTTCAAGGTTCATAACGTGTGCGAGGCTTACCTTATTGTTTTAAAAAGTTACCTATCTTCGTCAAATTGCTTTAGAATAATACTTATTTATACAGTGTATGGTTTAATTCGAAACACGTAGATCTCTTGTAAACTCTTGCAAAAATCTTTCAGACAAAACTTGTGCGATGCGATAGGGCAAGAGCACACGAAGGGTAGTTCTTACAGTAATACACAATTGCTAATACAAGTGCATTGTTGTTAATCGCCTGTCGCATGTACGGTGAGTTTTTACAAATTAAAGATCGTAAAAATTGCAACTTTAACACGATTTTGACAAAAAAACTGGAAGATATCTGCAGTTTTTAAAATCCTTCAGCGCCTGTAGCCCGATTCTGGGTTAACCAGTTTCGATCGAATTTTCAGTAAAAAACGGGGTTTTTTAATTTTTTTTTTCATTCCAAGTAATAGACAAGTAGACTGGTCTCTCTGTCATCTGAAAAACATTCGAGTGATTTAGTTTAGTTAAAAAATGTTCATTTTGAAAATGTCATTGCGTCTTAAAAGGTGTACGAATACTTTTGTATAGGCCGCTTTTTTTGGATTCTTGCATACCGTGCTCACGGATTTGTAACAATGCCGTCGTGTAAAGATGGTACCGTTTGAAACAAGGATATTAATCCTTCCGAATGAAAGTTAACGTGTAATGGTTTCATTGAACCTTCTGGAAATGTTAACTCGCCTGTACTTCCGGTGATCAACTTCGACGTAAGAATTTCACGTGAAACGCCAGCGCGTTCCGAAATATTCTTGTTCTACTATTATTATTACTGTTAATTATAGTGTATCAGCTGTCCAATGGAACGTCTATTAAAATGATTATGCAATGGTCACGCCCGTTGCGCGCGGTATATCAGAGCAACAAGTAAATAAATTTATAATTGATAGGTGCAAAACGCAGCTTCGTGACTGGCATCTTAGCCAGCTGACTCGACTCGTTGGGTTCCTGGTTGCAGTCGACGAGCATTTGCACTACAATTAAACAAATGTTTCATTTGTCTAAACGTGATGCTCTAACATCTACGTTTCAAATGGAAGTTGATAAATGTTTGTATTGGGTTGGCAACTAAGTAATTGCCGATTTGTTCAATGAAATAAAACTTTTTTTTTACTTGGAACGAAGTTTAATCTGTAATGTATTTTCCATTTTGTTCGATGACCTTTTGCCATCTCTCTGACAACTTGAAAATTCCACGCTCGTAGAAAGTCTGATCCTTTTCGGCCAAAAACTGAGTTAAGCGAGATTTTACAGCGTCATCGTCATTCAAAGTTTTACCACGAAGGGAGTTGTCCAGGGATCGAAATAAGTGGTAATC